GTCAGGAATTGCTATATTCTGCTTTACATTCTGAAACCGGTTAGTCAAGTAAGCAAAATACTATATACATCGAATTTAAACAAGACGACCTTAGATAATATTTCCAAATGCATCAATAATAGGATTGACTTTTTTCAATTTGTTTTTGATAAAATAAAGAATATATTTCAGATTAGCAATAAAGCATAGATTCTTAAAATCTCCCGCATATTTTTAATAAATTTTTACGTGTATTGTTGATAAAAAAAGGACATTTTTCTGATCTTTATATCGAGAGTTTCTGACTATTACAAATAAAATAAGGCAATATTTGTTAATTAGTCATTACGAATCAAACGAAAATTCTAAACTGCTAATCTACTAACAAAAATCTAATATACGCTTGATTGTAACGCACCGGCCACTTCGATGAATCAAATAAAGGCGGATGAAATATATTAAAGATAGTTGTGTAAATTTTTTTAAATTTCTTTGTAATTATTAGAAACAAATTAGATATTAATCTTGTCATTAACTTAGACGGCTTCATAAATAAGTAATAATTCAAGATTCATCCACAAGAGGTCTTGCTCAAGCTTCACGTCAATTAATGCATTCAAAACTATGGCATCCGGCATTCCATTTCTTCATCAACTTGGATTCAGATGTACTAGCCCTACTCTCGAGAAGGTATGGTGTCTTTAAGACGTAACGCCTTTTAAGTCCTCGTACTAAAACAAAAGAACACGGTTGGTTAACCGTTTAAATCCAACTTACACAACAAATTTTACAACATAAACATAAACCTGCATCAGTCACAAATTCCATGTCCACAAGACTGTGCGTCCAACTTATTAGGATAAAGAAGATATCTCATCCGGCGTTCCATTTATGACACTTTCTGACATCAAAATGTACTTGCCCTACTAGAAGGACAGCACCCATACAATCTCTCGTATTAGGATAACCATAATCTTGTTGATGCACTTTTCGACTTGATGTCTTATATCACACTTTCGTTCATGTATGCGTTTATGTTCTACGAGACGCCAATGTTTTTTTTTTTTTAGTAAAATCGCCTTTAGCCTAATTTGGTGGTACAAAAATAGAAAATGACGCGTGACGTCATCCTTTGATGAACGTGGTTTCTGACTTGTATAAGCATAATCAATTATACTTCCCTTTAATAAATGAATAATAACGCTTCTAGGAAGATTAAAAAGATTTTGAAGAAGAAATCGCGGTACCTTTCTCGAATTATGGTAAGTTTCCAAACATAATTTTATATTTTCAGCAATAGAACTGACGCATTAAGACATTTCAGGAAAATATTGAGAACGAACAAAAAATCGCATCAAAAAATTACAATTGAAGGCTCTAATCGCCTCTTCCGAAGAATACGTTGAACGTTCACATGGAGCTCGGTCCATCGTTGCACATGGTCCCTTATCAAATGAAATCAACCAAGTTCCACACAATGTCATTCCAGCCACTCAAAGTAAACCAGAAGGAAAGGTAAGTCATAAGTCTTGTCGACAATTATGTTTGATAGCTCTTCTAAATAAAGAATAATAACCAAACCAACAGCATGATAAAGAATATCATAAGCAAATATATGATTTACAAAATCAGGAAATGAACTTTGACAAGGGCACAGACGCGACGCCAGGCACTGGGTCACATGAACAACATGAAATTATGGATAAGTTTAGATTACAATTTGAAGAAAGGTTTCTAAATATGAAACAAGATGGAAAATGGAAGTTGCCTTCTGGGAAATACGTTGAAGATATTATTTACGAATATGCAAGGAACCTTTCGTATGATCCATAACCTAAAATGCATTAAAGAATGGTTCAATTGTAATCTGAATATGCAACTACATTTACCAGTTCACTGCATAGCTTTATTATCTATGTTAGTAATGAAGATGTAATGAATCTCTTTGACTATAATGATCGTGATTTTGTGATGACAAATAACATCCTTCCTGAACCAAGTATAGATGATAAACTAATGGAACACCTACTAAGATATAGAAAAGTTAGTATCTTTATCTTTAAGTTCAATAAAAGGTGTCACAATTTATATTATTTATTTGTTCTTCAGGACAAGTCTCAGGAATTAAGAAAACTTGTCAATGATGGCCTTCATATTTCTCCATATGATCCCGTAAAGCATTTCCATTATCAATATGTTCATCAGGTGTTTTCACAACTGTAAGTAAAGATATTATTCTTTAAGTGTAAACACATTTCTTTTTTATCTCATGATTTTCTTACTGCTTTTAGCCTTCCG